TCTCTAAATATGTCTTTCTTCAGCCGCAGGGGATGCAGCAGGGCCTGTTTCCCCAGCCACCGCCGCCGTCCCCCGCGACCGGACGAAACATGGGCGGTCCGCCCAAGCCGGTCTACTTCGCCGGCTCGTCCACCCCCAACCTGCCCACCTACATGCCGCCGCCCCAGGTCTCGGGCAGGCGAGTGGGCCAGCATCCCCCCGGTGGTGGCGGCGGCGGCGGCGGTGGAGGCGGCGGTGGTGGGATCCCGGTGGCGATCGCGCCGTTCGGGTACCCGCCCTTCGCGTTCGCCTCGTCGGCGTCGATGCCCTCCCTGCCGGCCATGCACGGCGGCCTGCCCAACTTCGCGAAGCCCATGAACTTTCCCCCGCAGCCCTCCATCCTCGGCGCCAAATACCACGGTACGCACCGCACGCACCGCACACACACGCAACACACACACAACCGCACTCACCGCACACACTCACCACATTCACCGCGACATAATACAAACGACAGCGCCAGGAGCGATGCGGATCGCACCCAATTTTCCACCGTCAGGACCCTATGTGGGGCACACCCAGCATCAGCACCACCACCAGCAGCAACAGCAGCAGCAGCAACAACAACAGCAGCAGTCGCTGGGCCGTGACCATCGGAAGGAGCAGCAGAAGGAGCGCGAGCGCGAGAGGGAGAGGGAGAAGGAGCAGCAGCAGAAGGAGCGTGAGATCCAGAAGCGGAAGCCCAAGGGCATGTGGAAGGTCAAGAACCGGCAGCCGCAGCCCGCCACCACCAGCGACGACCCGCCGCCGCCGCCGCCGCTCGACCACCACCACCGCTGCCGCTTCGACTCCCACCGCTGGCGGCGGCAGTGCCGGCGGATCGCCGTCGCCGCCGTCAACACCCGCTGCGTCGACACCGCCGGCGGAGACTGCTGCAGCCGGCGCCGGCGCCGTCACAACCGCCGCCTCTGCCGCCGCCGCAACCGCCGCCAGCAGCGGCGCAAGCAACAACAGTACGCCACCAAGCCCCGCACGGCAGGACTGAATAAAGCCCCATCCGTTGCGTACATACCGCACATCGCCACCACCACCACCTGCGTCATCCCGCCTATCCATACATACACACACACACACACACGTGCCGCACACGCACCACCGCACACGCATGCACACACCGCCGCACGCACGCGCGCTGCTCGATCATCATCAAACCTTCTTCTTCTTTTTGTTTGCTGTGGCAGGTGAGCAAGCGGAGGGGGAGCTCGAGGCGGAGGAGAAGGAGGAGGAGGCGGAGAAGAAGAAGCAGAAGAAGCGGCCGAGCAAGAAGGGATCGGACAGCGACGACGACGGACCCAACGCGCGGCCGGGCGGTGACCGCGACGGCCGCGGTGACGACGGCGACGGCGACCACCACGACCAGGGCGGCGGCCTAGCCGGCCGAACCAGCGTCGGTGGGCAGCACCACCATCAGCAGCGTCAGAGCGGCGCAGGCCAGCAGCAGCAGACCGAGGGCGCCGGGAGCCCGGCGGGCAGCAGCGGCCACACGCGAAGCCAGCGCCAGGACGACGGCGGCGGCGACGACGAGGAGGGCCGCCGGTCTTTTCCGCAGCCCCCTCCCTCCCATGATGATCTGCTCGCGGGGCCGCCGCTGCCGCCGCCGGCGCAGACCAGGAGGGCAGGGGGCAGCCAGGACCACCAGCGGCGCGAGATCGGCGGCGGCGGCGGCGACCTCAAGCTCGACTCGAGCGTGTGGGGTCCGGCGGGCAACGGCCACCAGCGCCACGCGCAGCCGCAGCCGCCGCAGTCGCACAAGAAGGCCGGCAAGCCGGGCGACGAGCTGAACGCGCGCGGGCGGAAGGTCGGCGGCGGCGGCGGCGGCGGCAGCAACAAGAAGCAGGCCGCGGCCAAAAAGCCCAACGTCAGCAGCGCGCGCAAGGCCGGGCGGGGCCACCACCACCATCACCACCTGGTCGACCAGCGCAGCCACACGCAGTCGGGCGTGTGCGACCGGGTCGGGCCGCTGCTGCTGGCGGTCGGCGTGGCGTCGGTCTCGGCCGCGGCGTCGGTCGTGGCGCTCGTGTGGCGTCTGCACCGGGACGCGCTGTGGGCGCTGCTGCTGTCCTACCAGGTCCCGCTGGGCCTGCTCTACATCTACGCCTTCCCGTCCCTCGCGGCCTGGCTCGCCCTCTACACCGAGTGGGCCCCGGGCCTCCTGTGGTACGCCTACGTCGCCTGGTTCGTGTGCTCCCAGCCCCACACGCTCGCGCTGCGCACCGCGACCGCCGCCGCTGGCGCCGGCGCTCACCACCTGGGCACGCTCGATGCGGGCGCCGTGGGCGCGCGGGTCCTGGTGGCCTTCCTCTTCCTGCTCGAGGGCGGTACGCTATCACACCCCACCTCCTCCTCCTCGCGTGTATGTAAACTCACTGCAAACCCACCCACACACCGCACACGCGCAGTCTACCAGCCGGCTGCGATCATGGCGTGGAACGCTGGCGATCGCGTCGTGCTCGGCCTCGCACTGCTCTCAACCAAGACGCAGGTACGGCACCCCTTTCCGCGTGTGTCACGTGTGTCGCCGTGTGTGTGTCGTGCCTGACGCGGTGGATTGGCAGGCCTTTCTGTACAAGCGGTGCTTTGTGAGCCTCATGGTGGCCATGGCGCTCAACCACTACGTCGACCGCGAGTGGATCACCGCGGGCCACGAGGCCGCTCGTCTGACGGTGCAGTGGCTCATCCTCGTCGTGGGGCTCGCCAACCACTACGCCTGCTCCACCGTACGTACCCCTGCAGCCTGTGCGCACGTGGGTGGTGCGTGTGCGGTGGTGGTCAACCGTAAGAGTGGCCGCTGAGCCTTTTCTCTCTCTCTCTCTCACTTCTTCTGCAGATCCCGAAGAGGAAGTCCAGTTCGTTGGGGAAGAGGTTGCGCGGCCAGATTGTTGCTGCCTTCGCCAAGCCCGATAGGCAGCCCACCGCCCCCTCCAGATGATGATCAGTTAACTGCACACATATTATTTATCCATTGCTGTCCTCCTCTTTACTCGGGTTGGCGCAGCCAAAAGATACACGAGGCGCGAGTGCCTCTTCTGCCATTCTGCTCACTGGGCGCGCACTCAACCCGCTCCACAGCAGCAAGAAGCGGTGTCAGTGCGGCAGTCACCTGGAGCCCACCACACACACACACACACACACAAGACTTGTTAGTGGGAAAAAGAACAATAAGTTGATGGTGTGGGCATGAACCTGGTGGGCTGCAGGTCCACCATCCACATCAATGCTCAGGCATCCAAGCGTGGGGCGAGCGTCTGTAGAGTTGCAGCCCACGCTGCCAGCTGGAGTGTGCTGCTGGAACCATCATCTGCCAGCAGTTGGCCAGACAAAAGGGGCATTCCCTGCAGCTTGAGACTCCTCAGCCCTGTTCCCATACAAGCCCTGCTGTTAGCGCGTGTGCGGTGGTGTGTGCGTGTGTGCGTGTGCGTGTGTGCGTGTGCGTTTGGGGGGGGGAAACCTGGGCAGTGAGGCAGAAGATCCTGGACGAGTTGGCTTGGCCATGAGCAGGAGCCCGGGGGACGGTCCTCCGCCTCTTCAATGATGATGGTGACCTCCTGCAGCGCAGGCATCAAACTGTGCACCACCAAGCGAACGCCCTGGTCGCGATCACCGCCACCGCCATCGCCATCGCCATCACCGACGTTCGGTGTGGCGGAGAGCGCTGAGCTGAGCGGAAGCTCGAGCTCGAGCTCGCACAGTTCAGGTGCGTCAAGCTCCAGCCTATGAAGAAGGGCGGGAGGTCATCAGTAGGCAGCGGAGCATACGGGTCTCAGTTAGGGTCGAATTCAGAGTCAGAGGTGAGTACCGCTCGAGTCGGTAGAGGCCCGCGGCTTGGAGGTAGCGCAGGCGAGGGCAGCAGGTGACGGCGAGCGTGCGCAGGTGCGGCAAATGGTTGGCCCGCAGCTCCTCCAACGCCATCGGCACCTGCCACCCACCCAGCTATAGTCAGCCCAGACCGTCGGGCCGGCG